GGCATGGTACAGCCCCTCCAGCCGGGCAGTGCCTGCTCCTGGACCCACAGGAAGCCTGGTGCACCCACCTGTCGGGCAGGCAACCCCCAGAAGCCCCTGTCCCACTCACCACAGCCCTGCTCATCGGCGTGGTCCAGGCAGTCAGCGTGGCCGTCACACAGCCAGCTCTCGGGGACACAGCGGGTGGCAGCGTCACAGCGCAGGGCACACTCCTGTGTGGGGCTCCAGCAGCCCATCTCATCCGATGCGTCGGGGCACTGCGGCACCCCATCACAGTGCTCGCCAGCCCTGACGCACACGGCTCCACTCGCGCAGTGGAAAGCCCCTGGGGAGAGAAGGGGCTAAGCCTGCAGCATGCAGCCAGGTGCCAGCCCCCCAGAAACCTAGAATGGCCCCACAGTACAGCCACAGGGCTTGGTCCCTCCTAGTCAGTGCCTCCCATTGCATCTAGGTCCCAAGCAAGGCGACCGAGGCAGTCTCAGCCCAGCCACATCAAAGTGACCTTGAGCAGCGGGGTCAGCCCTGTTGTCCCCTTCTGACTGACAATACCTCCAGTGCCAAGCTCAGAAGAAACCCGATCACAAGCATCAGAGCCCAGGACACACTCAGACCTTTGCAGGGCCCCATCCCACCAACACCCCCAGGAAGCAGCCAGAAGACCCAGCTGCACAGGGGACTGAAGGACGGCTCCTACCTGGGGTGTCGCAGAGCTGGGCACACCCATCCTCATCAGAGCCATCCGCACAGTCCTTCTCCCCATCGCACAAGTACTCCTGGGCCACGCACTCGGTGCCGTCACGGCAGGGCACATGCGTGCGAGGACAGGACAGATGGGGGACTGGGGTCAGGGGGCGTGCAGGTCTCGATGGGATGGGTGGGGTAGGCAGCACCACCCGTGGAGGGCTGTTTGGGTGCTGGGTGGTAGTAGTTGGCTGTGGGACAGTGGTCTTGGTTGGCAAAGACCGAGTGGTAGTGCTGGTGCTGGTAGTAGTGGTCCTGGTGGTGCTGGTAGTAGTAGTCCTGGTGGTAGTGGTGCTGGTGGTGGCTATAGTTGGCCGGGGGGCAGCAGTTTTGGTTGGCAAAGACCGAGTGGTGGTGGTGGTGCTAGTAGTGGTGGTGCTGGTGATGGCTGGCCGCAGAGTGGTGGACTTGGTTGGTGTGGTCTGAGGAGGGGTTAGTGCAGGGGTGGTCTTGGTGGATGATGTGGACTGGCTCGTGGTGGTTGGTATTGTAGCCTTGCTGGTTGGTGCAGAAGTAGTGGTGAGCACAGTGGTGGTCCTGCTGGGTGTAGGTCTCACGGTGGAGGTGGTGGGCTGAGCAGCAGTGGTCCTTGTGGTTGTCCTTGTACTGGTGGCCACAGGCGGAGGGACCGGCAGGGCAGACCCCTTGCTTGGTGGCACTGGTAGAGGCATGGGAACATGAGTCTGGATTTGGGGCTGTGCCCTCCCCACACTTTAGGCACCTCCAAGAGCACCCCACATGGCCACCAGCAGCCAGGCACCTTGCCCCAGCTCAGAGCAGCATGTGCCACCAGGCACAGAACCACAGCCGCTCTTACCAGCCTGTGGCTCCAAGCCCACGAAGGCCACCACTCCCTGAATGCCTGTGGCCGGAATGGACATCGCAAGGGCCAGTGTCCTGCGGTCCCACAGCAGGAGAGCCGTCCCGTTTGCTGACATCAGGTATGGCTCAAATGCAGCCACCAGCCCGTGGGACCAGCTGGGTGCCAGGGTGACCGCTTGTCGCTTGCTCAGACTCAGTGCTCGCAGACCTGCGAGGCAGAGGGATGGTAGGACCCTGGGGCCTGCAGGCACCCCTTACGGCCCACCCTGTGCCCCCACATGCCACAGCTATGGCCAGGGGCTCAACTGTGGGACAGTCTGCCCCATGAGCACCCCACTGCCCGGCAGGGATGCTGCACCACCAGCGACTACCTCTACTCCAGATGCCACCAGGGCTCACCCAGGGCTGAGGTCCAGAGCAGGCTGAAGGCTCTGCTGTCCATGGCTGCGGGCAGGTCTCCAGGCCACGTCTCGTTCCAGGCATCGCGGGGAGCACCGCCAGCCAGGCTCAGCTGCTGCAGGGGCTGCCCACGGGCTAACCAGTACAGAGCACCCCGCTGCCAGTCCAAGAAGAGGTGCTGGATGCTGCTGCGAGCACGGTGCAGGATGCGTGGGGACATGTCAGACGCCTGGATCACCCCGATGTCCCTCCGGTTACATGCCAGCCAGTACAGGTTCCCTGAGCGGATGTCCACACGGGCAGAGCAGACTTGGCAAGAAGAGGCAGGCAAACAGTTATGGGGCTGTCCCGTGACCCTGCTCCTCTGCTTGCGTCCCCCCTGCCCCTAGAAACACGTCACGGCTGCCAAGTGCCTGGGCATGGCTCCAGCGTGGGCGCCGTGGGACTGCAGTGCTCTGCGCCCAGGAGATCCTGGGGGGGACGCATGCCCTCCATCATCCCGAGGGTCTCACCTGGCAGCCCAGTCGCCATGGCCTCTCTCCTGCCGGGGTGCCCCACAACACGGAGCAGCGTCCCATGGTCATCCGTCCCGTAGATCACCGACCTCTGCCAGTCCACGTCTTGCAGGTGGAGGGACTCCTGCCACTCCTGCACCTGTTTGCTGTGTGCTCCAGGGCCCACCTGCACCAGGGAGATGGCTGTCCCTGTCGCATACACAATGGACAGCTCTGCAGGAGAGAAGGGCAGTGTGTGAGCACAGCCCTGGGGGCAATGGATGGGGTCACCAGCATGAACCAAAGCAGAAATGTCACAGCACTGGCATATGCTGGGATCCTCATCCCACCAAAGCCACAGGTCCCCTTACAGCCGCCTCGCCCAGACTCCCCCAGGGATGGGACGCATCCTGCCATGGCCAGCCAAGCCCACCCTGCAGACCTGCTCACCTGCACACCTCCCTGAGGGCAGGAGGAAGAGCCCCTCTGGACACGCACACTTATAGCCGCGAGTGTGCACAGGGGACAGCAGGCAAAGGTGACTGCACAGGCCCGGAGCACACGCAGCAGTGTCCCCTGGGAGCAAGGGGACATTAAGAGCTCAGGCAGCCATGACTCCCCATGCCTCTCCCGATCCCCAAAAACCACAGGCTGTCCCTGCAGGCACCGGGCAGGGTACTCACGGGGAGGCTGCTGCAGGACGTGCAGGACAGTGAAAGCAGAGACAGGGGCTCGGAGCAGCACCGCATGCTCCTGGGGAGACGCCTGGGCGGCCGACACCAGCTCTGTGCCATCAGTCCAGAAGAAGCGGCTCTCGAACACGGCCAGGCCCAGTGGCTCCGTGTGGCTCCGCAGGACGGCGGGGAAGGAGTGGCGCCCGCTGCCATCCACCCGCAGCGTCTCGATGGACTGGGGACAAGGCAAGGTGACCATGTGGCACCCCCACACCCCAGACATGGGGCTCACAGTGATTCACAGCCTTCCCCCTCCCAGCCCAGGGACACGTGCTAGACCTGGGCATCCCTCACAGATCCCTCCCATGCCTTGGCCATAGCACCAGGGGAACCGGGGCCACGGTCTCCATCACCTCCCAGCACTTGGGGGTGCAGAGCCCTGCTGCCCCACATCCCTACCTCCTTGTACTCGCTGATCCAGTACAGCCTGCCAGCCACGTGGTCCAGGCTCAGCCCCACTGGCTCCTCCATGGACACCACTGTGAGCTCCCGCCGGTCTGAGCCATCCATGCCGGCTGCCGCGATGACTGTCCGGCCCCTCTGCCCGCGGTTGACCCAGTACAAGGACCTGGGGACAGGCACTGAGCACCCACTTCACAGCACTACACCAGAGCTGCTGCAGCCCCACAACAGTGAGGCTGGTCAGCACCAGCATCGCTCACCCAGGCCACCCTGTCTCACCCACTCCTCACCTTGCAGCTGGATGCACTGTCAGCTGCTCTGGTGCCAGGTCCTTTCCCAGCACTGTCACATAGCCCCGGCCATCGCTCAGCCCCGCACAGATAGCTGCAGGGTGGCTGCTGGCCCAGTACAGCTGCCCTGTGAACCAGTCTATGGAGATGCTGTTCACCTCCCCAGCATCTGCAGAGACAGAATGGTTTAAGACACACCACCCCTGCTCCAGGCTGGGATGCAAAACTCAGGTTGCCCCTTCCTCTATGGAAGGTGGCCAGCTCTCAGCACCCACGATGGCACCCAGAACCATTGCTGCTCCCCACCTGCATAGAGGGGCCGCGTGCCCTTCCCCGGGAGATGGACACGGAGCTCGCCCTCCTCGGTCAGCCAGTAGTAGGTTTCTCGGAGCAGGTCATACACCAGGGCGCGGGGTTCGGTCTCGCTGGAAAGCAGGGGCCGGTAGGTTTGGGTCCGCACATCCAGAAGGGCCAGATCCTGCCCCACAGCCACCAGGATCTGTGTTGCATTGTCTGCCAGGGTGAGGGGGATGTCACCTGGTGAGCGGGGGGACGTGGGGGCACTGCCCAGCCCCTCAGACAGCTCCCTGACCCACCCTACCTGCCACCTCACAGGTGGTGCCGTGCCGCAGGGTGTAGCCCTGGAGGCAGGAGCAGCTGAAAGCGCCGGGGGTGTTGCTGCACAGCTGGCTGCAGGGGCTGTACTCCAGGGAGCACTCGTCCACATCTGCAGAGATAGGAGCTGCCAGGAGCCTGCCCACACACCACCACCACTGCTCCCTAGGGACCAGGACCTGGGCCACAGCCCCAAAACGCACCAGCTGCCACTGAGACGTAGAATCATAGAATGGTTTGGGGTGGAAGGGACCTTAAAGATCACCTAGTTCCAACCCCCCTGCCATGGGCAGGGACACCTCCCACTACCCCAGGTTGCTCAAAGCCTCATCCAGCCTGGCCTTGAACCCCTCCAGGGATGGGGCATTCACAACTTCCCTGTCATGACCCAGGTGTGACACACGGGAAGGAGCGGGGCTGATCCCTGGCTCTGGGGACACCCTGCTCTCAGCATCCGAGGCCTTGCGTGGCTGGAGCACGTGCACCCCAACTTCTCCTTACCAGCACAGCTCTGCCCATCTGCCTGCAGCACCCAGCCGGCCCCGCAGGAGCACTGCACTCCCCAGTGCGTGTCGGTGCACGTCTCTGCGCAGCCCCCATTGCGCACAAAGCAGCTCCGACCTGTGGGGACACAGCAGAGGGGTGACATGACGTGGAACCATTCTGCAGCTCCCCCCGGTCCCAGCCATACACTCACCGCACGTGCTGGGCTCGTCGGTGCCATCCAGGCAGTCGTCCTCATCATTGCACATCAGGGACTCCAGGATGCACTTGCCTTCGTCACACCGCACCATGCCAGGCGGGCAGGGGGCTATGGCATACACAGCACATGTCAGGAGGGCAGACCGATACCAGGTGGGAAAGCTGTGGGTCCCAGACTCATCTGCAGGTTCCTGGGATGCTTGCCACCATCTCAAGGGGAGCTGAGGCCCAGGAAGGCAAAGGATGTCCCACTTCACATGGTCTCACTCCATGGAGGAGCACTCAGGGTGCCTGCTTACCGCAGACATCTTCATCCGAGGAATCGCCACAGTCATCGACACCGTTGCACTTCCACTCGGCCATGATGCACACCCTGTTCCTGCACTGCCACTGCCCCGGCAGACAGGGCTGCTGGGGACACCCCTCCTCGTCCCAGCCGTCTTCGCAGTCCTGGTGCCGATCGCAGAGCTCCCAGTGCGGGATGCAGTGGTGAGTGCCAGGACACTGCACCTTCTTTGCCCCACACACTAAGAGAACAGAGCAGCAATCACACTCTGCCCTGCACCCCCAGCCACCCCCATTCAGCACCCCCCCAAGCAGAGACTACGCACCACAGTCCTGCTCATCAGAGCCATCCAGGCAGTCAGCAACACCATCGCAACGCCAGCTTCTGGAAACACACTGGCCATCGTCACACTGCCAAATGTGAGGGTCCCCACCACAGGCAACATCTGTGGGGACAGCGCACAGTCACTGGGATCTAGCACAAGGGTCCCCTCCAACCTCTGGCAGGTGGGGGGTGGCCTCACTCCACACAGGATTCAGGATGGTCCCCCATGCCCCAGACACCCCCCCAAGAGCTCTGGGGCACACACGTCCCTGCAGGGTCCCATGCAGGAGCCACCCACGCCCCTTGATGTCTGCACAGCACAGCCCTCCAGGCCACCCCACAACAGAGGACGGGTGCCAGCGTCCCCCTGCTCACCGCACTGCTCATCCGTCCCGTCAGGACACTGCTGCTCGCCGTCACAGAGCCAGGGAACGGGGATGCAGGCAACACCGCAGGCGGCCTGGTGGGAGGCTGCGCACGTGGGGCTGGCGGGCGCTGCGGGAGAGAGGGACCCTAGCCCATGGTCAGCACCCGCTGACACCCACCCCACACAGCGCCCCGCTTGGGGGTCACACCACAGCCCTGCAGAGGGGGAGGACTGACCCCAGCCTGGGGCACCCCTAAACCTCATGTAGAGCTGGAGAGAGAACTGCAGCCTCTCCTTTCCCCCCAGGGAAAGCAAGGACCAACCCCCCCAAACTCCCTTAGAGCAGGACAGGGTG